TATATAGATAAAATATTTTATAATATGAAAAAAAAAAGCAATAGATTACTTTCTTTTAATCTTGTTACCAGGAATAAACCAATATTCAGTATAAAATATAAAATTATTATAATGTGTAATTGTTTTTAATGATTAAAAAATAGAATACTTTTAAGAAACAAAGATAAAGATAAAAGATGTTTTTATTAAGAAATCATTAACAAATAGTAACAGCAAGAGCTGAGAATCAAAATACAAAGACTAATTGTTTAATTCACAGAATAATGCTAAATTTTTCTTATTCTCATATTCTACATCATCTGAGGATTTGTATGCTCAAAGTAGTGTTCTTTGGTTTGTTGGTTTGTACTCATATGTTCTTTGGAATTCATCAAAGAGTTGGTATACCTTATCATATGCAAAACATTTGATTTTCATAGCTATCTTCAGTCATTGAAACAGAAAGAAATCATATAGGACTAAAGTTGATAAATATGGGAAATGTTTTAAGAGCATCTTCCTTTCTTATCCTGTTATACAACCAAAGATTCTATGAATTGAAATCTGGTTGTGTTCCAGAAAGAAGCAACTCTTCAAATCCATTGTTTTTGTTCTTTAAACTCACATGTCTCTGTGTGCAGTACAAAATATACAAAATACTCCTTCAAATTTAATGCATCATTATTGTCTATGTCAAGTTTAGAAGCAAAACTGTGCTCCAACAAGACTGCACTAAAAGTATACAATCCTGGAAAAGAATAAAAAGGAAAAGAATAAAAAACTTTTCCTTACAAATTCCCAAACTAAACGAAGTTAAAACCAACTTTCATTATCAGCTGTAGAATTAATACATCGAAGAAATTATATAAGAAAGAAATGCTTAGAAGAAATAATGTAAGAAAGTGTATTAACTTAAAAGCAGCTACGACATTAAATCAACATCGCAGATATCTATCTAAACCAAATTGCCAAATAATAAAACATATGAATGTAAATTTTATAATTTGATAAAATAACATTACCGATATTCAACAAATATTTTATAAGACGTGATTGTATGAAATGTAATAATAAATAAATATTTTATTTTCTAGAATTTGTATATTTTAAAAGCTATCCAGAAATGTAAAAATCCCAAAAAAAGCTTCTATTGGAGAGATGGATACAATCTATTTTGTAATAACAACATCGAAATTAATCCAAATGTACAAAAGTAATATTTACTGATCTGGCTATTGAAATGCCAAATAACTTTTATGGTAGGATAGCCTTGCAATCTTCATTATCTTTAAATAATATTATAATTAGTGCAGGGGTAATTGATTGTAACTACCACAGAAACATTGGCATCCTGATGTATAATTTTGGATGAGAAAATGTTGCTATTGAAGCCAGAAAAGCTATCACTCAAATAATTTTTTAAAAAATTATGCATCCAACTCTTATAGAAGCAGATTCAAACTTCACTGACCAAGATGAAAAAGACTTTGGAGAATGTACTGAAATTAACTTTTCTTAAAAATAATTTTGTACTCAAATTTTAATCTACATTCAATTTAAATAATGTAACTAAACAAACATTATTTTCTAATATAAAAGAATTGTTTATTTCTTTATAGACAATAAGCAACTCTCCTTCAACTGGGAAACTTTAGAAGAACATACTATTTGTCATTTTAAAAATTATGTTGATTGGGATATCATCAGTCAGTGAAACGAATTATCAAACATGTTTATTTCAGAATTCACAGATAAGTTAAATTGGGAATACATATGGAAAAATTACAAATTCACCATCTCATTTATTACACAACCTATTTATTATGCAAAATGGGATTTAATTTGCCAATATCAGAAATTAGACGAACATTTCTTAGCCTATTTTTCAGATAATCTCGATTGAAATAAAATCACCAAATTTTAAACTCTTCTGGATAATTTTATTACCCTCTTCATACATAAGTTAGATATAAAAAAGTTTTAAAATACCAACGATTAAAAACAGGGACTTTACACAAATTAAAAGATTATCTAAACTGGAATTTTGTTTCCCATTACCAAAAAGTTGACCAACAATTCATTGATGAATTCCAAAATCAACTTTCTTGGTGTCACATTTTAAAATATCAAAAATTAGATCGAGAATATATCATCAGCAATTCCTGCACTTACTTGCAGAAATGTGTCATGCTTTAGATAAACTGGGGAAAAAAGTGGAAACACTTAAACTGTATTAATGTAATGTAAAAATAAAAACCTTTTCAAAATAATTTCAGTATTATATTTTAAATTGTTAAGTTTTATATTGTTGTGTACTCAAATATCAATCCACTCACTTCAAGAAAATAATTAATTCCAGTATAGATAATAAAACTTCTTTAGCTTCTTATTTCAAATTCTCAACAAATTTTTATTTTAAAAATTATCAACACAACTTAATTTTATAAAATATTATTTCAAATTGTCATATTTTAAATTTACTCAAATATTAGAACAACAACAACAAAAAAAAATTAACAAATATTCTCAATCATGCTATTTTTAAATTTAAGTATAAATACAAAGTAATTTTTCATTAGAAGTTTCAACAAGATGAATTGTAAGTATATTTTTCATATATCCAATTGATATATTTTTTAAAAATTTAGATACCAGCCTCCAAAAATTGAAGCATTTTAATTTACTCAACAAATTTTTATTATTTTAAAATTATTTGTAATCTTAATTTTGTGATCAGTATATCCCCAGAAAAATTAATTTTGTGATCAAAGTGGTCCAAGATTTCTCTCTAAAAATTAATTTTGTGATGCTTTAGATAAACTGGGGGAAACACTTAAACTGTATTAATGTAACCTAAAAACCTTTTCAAAATAATTTCAGTATTATATCATTTCGTGTTCCCGAATATTAAGACAAATTTTTATAATAAATATCAATCGAGAAAATAATTAATTTAAACATAAGAAGCCAAAGTTTTTCATCAATACTGGTATTATTTCAAATTCCTGAAAAATTTGTAATCTTAATTTAATTTACTTGACAAATTTTTATTACTTGTAATCTGAAAATAATTCCATTATTTATATCCTGAAAAATTAATTTTGTGATCAGAGTGGCCCAAACCACTACTACTTATGTCAATAAGAAAGTAGTAGTACTTGAGTCACAGAATCAAATCTGAAAGAATTAACAATCTAGAGCACCATTCTTCAACCTTTTCACACCTGCAGACTAGCAAAAATAAGAATATTATCTTCTCTTCTCTTCTCTTCACAACCAGCAGAAGGCTAAGGATAAATTTTCTTAAACTTAAACTACTTAGACATGGGTGATGTGCACAACTGTCATAACTGGCCATAACACGATATTGGTTATTGTGTATTGTAACAGTGTTGCTTTCTTTCACATGTCAATCACTCTCTCTCAAGTTGCACGCAGCTGCAATAAAATAAGAATTTTTGCTACATGTCACCAATAAGTGAGTTTGCACAACACTGCAATGCCTACTAAGTGTAACAGCAGGGGTGTAAGGTGTGTGGGTATTATCACGAGACTGATGCTCATTTGATAACTGTTATGCATAAGCGTAATTATTTTATAAATTCTTTTAATTCTTCTTGCTGAAATGCTGAAACATGAATTTTTGATTTTATTAAAATACAGTAGGTGTTGCTTATTGCAATCACTTTGAGATTAGCCTATACTTAGTGGTGGATATAAGAAGGCTACAGGGACTTAATTCCTACCTATTGACACCAAAAAAATTTTAATTTATTTGTTTGAATTTCAAAATATTGTTTTTTTAAAAACATCTATGACGACAAATATACACCTATCTCTCTTTTTACATGGTCTATTTTTACCTTATTTTGAAATAACATGGTTGAATTTTTTACAAGAGAAAAAAAGTTTATTGAAAATTTTTAAATTTAACTTTTTTTAAAATGTGTTATTATTAAAAAAGTTACTCTTTTTGTTGAAATCAAGAGTTCATTAATCATTTTTAAGCACAGAACAAGTACAGAACCGGAAAAAATTAATTATTTGTTTCACTCAAAGATTAAAAATATTTTAAATTATAATATTGATGATTAAATGTTAATTTATTGGAAACTTTCATGTTTACAAAGTAGAAAATATGTGACACCCCATACATAAGATGACATCTGTCCTGACTGGCTTGACAAGAGTGTGCAGTGACAGATGTCATCTCATGTATGGTGAGGCGTCACATACTTTCTACTTTGTCAACATGAAAGTTTCCAATAAATTAACATTTAATCATTGATATCATAATTTAAAAAATTTTTAATCTTTGAGTGAAACAAATAATTAATTTTTTTATAAAATGTGGAAAAATTGTTTTTAAGAATCTGAAATCATGACGAGATTTTCTCAATACTAGTTCTGGTTAATCATCCCATCACTAAAATATTGTAAACATAACGTAGCACAGGAAACATAAAATTAACATACTGTACTTGTTCTGTGCTTAAAAACAATTAATGAACTCTTGATTTCAAAAAATTATCTAGTAACCATGCTCTGTCTCTATTTTAGGGGAGATGGGGCGACTTTATATGTAACATGAATAGTCATATGCAGTCATAGGTACAACGAATCAGTACTTTTTTTATGCAAAATGCACATTTTTTAAATAAGATATAATGATTAATCAGTCATGAAGTAAGTCGAAGTTTCAAGAATTTACCAGTATAACGAAAAATCAATTAAAATATTCCAGTACAAATACAATCAACATACGAATTTCCATATTACATGATATAACGAAGGCTTAATGTCAATTCATTTTTACGTATACAACGTAGAAACCACGTGAATGTGTTTTATAACTTCAAAAACGATACAGGTTAAGGGTTAATTCAACGTAAATACATTAAAATTGGCAAATAAGGGGTACGATCTGACATTTGCGTATGAAATAACGGAGTTGGGATAAATAATCGATCGATTATAATAATTAATTAAAGTAATTTATGGTATAAAACGGGAAATCAAACCTGAGTTAACGACAATTGCACGGGAAGCGGCATTTTTGCCAATACGAACTACAAAACCAGCAACTCAAACAGCAGCAAATCTATCAAGACAATACCGAATGACGTCAATTAATTTGTAAAAAATAGCCAAAATTTCATTTAAAATTAATGGTCACCGCGAAATTAAATTCTGAATAAAATTAATTAACTTTTTAATATTTTAAAATTAGTGTATAATATTAATATATAATTTAATAATTTTTAAATTTTATAATAATAATATTATATTATTAGTAATTTGGCATTTTAACAAGATGGCGACTCTCTGAGTTGTTTGTGTTGCGTCTTACGTTTGGCAGGAAATGGACGTGTTAAAGGCTGAAATTGAAAAGAAAAGAAAACTTTTAGAAGAAAAGAAGTTATTGGTAAGCTTTTTATTAAGTTATGGTTGTAATATATTATAGAAAAACTTTAAATTTTTATATGTTTTTTGGTAGCAACCAGCAAAGAAATATTTCAAGAGAGGAGATTTACTCAATGCTTTGGAAGAAGATTATTGGGCTAAACATAGAGAAAAACACAAAGATGATGATGATTATGATGTATAGTTTATTTATTTATTATATGATATAAGTTAATTGAATCATACAAAGTTTGAAAAATAATTATTTAATTGCAGAGTGGTAGGAATACAAATACTCTAAAGACACAGAAAGATAATCAGGAAGATATAATATTACCAAGGAAAGAGGTGATTATAAATGTTTTATTATTATTTATATTTATAAGATCAAATTTTCCAATTACCCTGTAACACCGTAGTAAAAATATTGTTTCAAATCACTTCAGTTAATGGTAAATTGCCATTGATGCTAATGGGCAGAAAATGATTTTAAGCAATAACAAATAACAGATTATTTGCAACCATTTTGTATATGAGAACTGTTATATGATAGGAACATTGTCCTTAAAACATGAAAACATTTTAAAATTCTAAATATATACTGGCTGCAATCAAATGAGGTCAGTTAATATCGCTTACAATTTCAAGCAACAAAACAGTATTAACTAGTAAGATCATTGCTATGTTTGGAAGACTCGACAGTTCTATTTGAACATAAGTAGTGTAAATGCTACATAACTGCAATGAATCTGCTGAGAGATTAATTATGAGTGTGAGTAGCATTACAGAAGTTTTTGCTCATTTCTACAAATTTATCCTTAAATTTATATAGTATTTTACATAGCTGATAGCTGTGTGTTAATAGATTATTATAATATATGCCTTCCTATTTGTAATTAATATATAACTTACTTATTGAGTGGGAGCAGCCATCTTTGATTCATTATTGGTGTCTAAAGATAGAGTAAATGAGATCTATCACTAAACATGACATTAATATTCTGTATGTATTACTAATTAACATTTCCATAGATAGCATTCAAGAGAAAAATACTTATTTATTCCAGAACTGTTGATGCTGCAAAATGAGCCATTGCATGCCAGTTGGTCATTTTTTCAAGTCATTTAGAATTTATCATTGTTATTATCTACAAATCCAGTAGTAAGTCCTTTGCCCATTACAGTCCTGTGTGAGGTTTTCTTGCCAGTGTTTCATTGAATAACTTATTCTGGATTTCATTTGGTTGTTTCGGAGATGTCTAATCAATGACTTTCATTTCAAAATATTGAAACTATATTTTTTACTAAGATAAATGTTTTAGGACCAATAAGTTTAGATTGAGTAAACAAACTGCTTACTAATCTTTTAGATAGTAACAACATATCCAATTTCTTACAAATTGCAACATTTAAAATCTAAAAGTACTTAAAATACAATTAACGAATTTAGAAATCTATTATGCAACACAAAGAGTTAAGTAACCACACAATTTTATTCATTATGATTAATAATACAGCATAAAAGTTATCTTTTAAATAAAATCTCATGACATGTAGAAAAGTTACATAACTTGTTGCTAGTTTTTCAAGGATTATCTCTGTCTTCAACATCTTATCTCAACTCTAAAATGATCTTTCGAGATATGTAATGCCCCACTAGATATTACCATATTGCTCTGAATGTAGTATGATATATATATTTTTAATTTCTACTTCTGAAAGTATAGGGTTATATGCAAACAAGTTCTTTCTAACCTGCATATAGTACGACCCTTATATGTAGCATTACTGCAACATCTTGTCTTGCCAATAGAGATCTGTTCTACTCTGCTCAAATGTTGCCAATGTGATATTTCTTTTATGTAGTTCTTAGGCAAGGAAAAATGCATACACAGATTATGTTGAAAAAATGAGGCTCAACATGTTGACAGACAAACTGTCTCAGAACTACGTGTTTTAAATTTGAGTCAAATGATTTTCTAATTCCATGTTTAAGGAAATTCAAAAATCATTTTACTTAAATTTAAAAACACACAATTCTAAGATATGCTTTCTTTCTACCACTCCTGAATGATAAGGAAAAATTTATATTGCTGCTTGACAATATTAGTGAAAATGAGAAAGCAAAAATTGTCTTAATCTGACATCACATTCTCTTGCTTGTTAACATCTTGTTCTGGAAAATTCACTCACTTACATCTGCAAGGCCACAGCCTAAGGCTTTCAGAGGTCTAAAAACAAGCAGATTTGACAGATATGTAATGACAAGGGTCTTCCAATTATGTGATAATTTTGTTGAAAGTATTGAAAATCATTCAATAAAAGAACATTCCAAGGTCAGTGTTTTTATATGTTTTCCCATCTCCTTGATGAAAAAATATTGGTATGTACAGTACACATACTACAATTCTTCACAGCATGCCAGAGTTCAAAGCAAACTTTGGTTAGTATCAGAGATTTTTGCACTGATTTGGATTTTCACTCTGCTGTCAGAAATACTAGTAGTGTTTGCTTAATGCTTTTGAAGAAAAGTTGATGGCCTATCAATGTTATGTCATTCAACTGCAAAAGGAACATCAGTATTTGTTGAGTAAAATTGCCAATGCTGATGAAATTCCAGTATATTTTGTCATGCCAGAAAATACTATAGTGGATGACATTGATGCAATTTTTTTTTGATAAATACAAGTGGAAATGAAAAAATCTCATATCATAGTCATGTTTGCAGTGTTAGATGATGGACCAAAGTTATTATCATATGTGATTTTTAAGCAGAAAATAGTGCCAAAGGATATCCATGTCTGATGTAATGCAAATGGCTGATGGACATGAAGGATTGGTTGGATGTGGTATGGACCTCACAGCCCCATACCCTACAGCAGGGCCCCCAGGCCAGGATCATTGACAAGCCCCCTCCCCCCACTCAAACCCAAGACCTTAGAGCCGCCGCAAACTACAGGATGTGGGAGCTAGCGTACGCTCGCTCGCGCTCCTAAGCCCCGCCTTTTTTCCCATGATGCTATGAGCCATTTTTGCTAGGTAAGCTATGCGGGCACGAAGCAGATGCAAACTACACAACGTTTGCTCGCGTAACGTAGTCCACATGACGTGGATTCCACAGATGTAGATTGGCTATAGAACAAGATTTTATTATAACCTATACTTGTAATCAGTCAGTTTTCGTTCCGAACTTTGAAACAGCATGGAAAAAAACATGTTTACTAGTTAAGCCTAACTAGGCTTAACTAGCCGAAAACTATTTATACTGTATATTACTATTTACATACAACGGTTATACTATTTTCTTTTCAATACTGAATGTATTAATCATGTAATTTACGTACATCGATAAAATTCTATTTCCTTTTCGATATATGACATGTTTATGCAGTCATCTGTCTTCCCCGCTCTCTCTTGCTAGCGTAAATGCTCTAGTTGTTGAATTCTGTGAACAGCGAGCGTACTCTCGTATCACTGCGCTAGCGAAGGAAAAACAGCACGAGCAAGAAGAAAGGGGCGGAGCCTTCGATGTCATCGGTTGTGCTAGCGCATGTTTGCTAGCGTTTTGCTCTCGCAAAGTGCTAGTTTGCGGCTGCTCTTAGTGGTGTCAGACGAAGGACCTAACAACTTGGCCCCCGCAGCTTCTTTGGGACAAGATAAGGCAGCTAAATGACAAAAAATATTATTTTTATTCACAAATTAAGCATGCATTTACAAAAACATAGATCAGATTTATTAGAAACAATAGAGGAATTACACTGACAAATTTTAAAATGACAAACATGACATCAAAAACAAAATAGGAACCAACACAAGAACTGAAAGAATGTCAGAAATTGAAAAACAAAGCACATCAACAAGAAACTATCGATTAAATTATTTCGCAGCAAATTTTCTGGCTTTTGCTGAAGCAAATTTTTCAATTATATCACTAAAATTTGTTTGTTTAACTAAATCATTTTCAATGCATAAAATTGTTAGGATATTTAGTCACTCCTGACCAGTTGAGTTTCTTTGTCATGTCTTCAGTGAATTTACCAGTTTACTGAAAGATCTCTCAGCCAAATAAACAGTTACTGGCACTGTACAAAACAGCTTAATTGCAAGACTAATATTAGCAAATTAACCCTGAAGTTTTTTATCGTAAATCACACTCAGAATTCCAATTGGGCTTTTTTTCCGTGCTGGAAACTGTCAAAAATACAAGCTGGCCATCTTTATACTGGACCTTCTGACTAGGGTCCAGTCAGTCACTACCATGTGGGGACCATGATGGACATGCAGACCAGGGACTTTGTTGAGACAGAAAGCCAAGCTTATACTAGATGCTTTCTGTGGTGACCAATGATGTGAAGAAAGTTATTGGAGAGAAGAACACAGATTTTGAGATTTTCCCAAGCATGATGTCCTTCCAACTCCCAAGTTTTGGATATTTGTGTCAACAAACAATTCAAAAATATTCTAAGAGAACAAAATTATTTCTGGCTTATAAGTAACCAATATAAACTTATGCCAACTGGAAAAGTACAGATGTTGCCCTTATGCTTCAATGAGTATTAGAGACTTGTAAATGGTAACATTAATGACTTTTGTAGGACATTCTGTAGATATAAAAATATAGGTCATAGTATATTCAGTTCTATTTATTTTCTTATGAAACACTCCTTGAAATTTGGGAGCCATACTATCTTTATATAAGATGGAGACACAAATGTTTACTATTAAACCAGATTTTGGTAATTAATTCAGTCTTAAAATAAGTTGAAAAAGATCCAGCAATTTAGTTAATTGATTTTTTTATTCATTGTTTTATTTCCTATACAAAGAATAAAAAACCATGGAGAACAATGTGTAAGTGGGGTGCAATCAAAAAGAAACTGGACTATTCACACTGTTCAACAATATTGTGATGTACAGTCTTTTTATTACCAGGGATTACTTTAATGTGTCAGTCTGCCAAATGATGTTGAGTTTTTCAAATTGAAATGTTTGCTACATATAATTTTGTAATGTATTAGTGTCGTGCTGCAATTTTGAGAATGAACTTGAAAATTGAGCAAAAAGAAAAAAGTTAAATTTTGTGTTAAGCTTGAGGAATATGTCACATATACCCTTGAAGTACTTTAAGAGACTTTGCTGCTATGGGCAAGACCACAATCTCCCAAACCCAAAAAAGCAAGACAAGTCAGAAGCATGACCCAGAGAGATTGTTGATTTTTTTTTAATCATAAATTCCTGGTGAATAATTCTATTGTTTCTCCTGGTCAGACAGTGAATTCAGATTTAATGTTTAAGATGATTCATAAGGATATTTGTCACAAAAGATGGTCCAAACAGAACCTGCTCCCTTGATCATGATAATGCTTCCACATAAACAGCCTTCAAAACATGAGCATTTTTTGCAAAAAACCAATATGTCAGTCCTTTCCCATCTTCTTTACTTCCTGCATTTAGCTTCTTGTAACTTCTCCAGAATGAAGTTGAAATTCTAGGAACAATGTTTCCATATGATGGAGGAGAACCAGTTTAAATTACAATAGGAAATTTTCAAAGCAATAGCTTCAAAGACTTGAGATTGCTGTATGAATGCAGAGGGGACTACTAAGAAGGGCCAGCCAGACTTAAATTAGTTAAGTATTGAAATCTTAATAGACTAATCCAGTTCGTTTTTGATTACACCTTATATTTAAACAATTTACATGAAGTGAAACATTTTGAACTTATCTATGTAAGATTTGTTCTAGTTTTTCTTTTTAGAAAAAGAAAGTAGAAGGAAAAGTATAGAAAATTTATCATTATATTTAATGTAAATATTGAAGATTTACAGAATAGAATTTTAAGTGAATAGTATGTACTAAAATCAGTCAAGACTGATTTTAGTACAGGTATACCTCGAGTTACGTTGTTCTCGATTATACATTGTTATAATACAAAAAATATACAGAATAATATATACAAAAAATATACCAAAAAATAAAAATCAAGTTTAAGTCAATTTATTTGACTTTACGTCCGTCCGTCACAAATATTGAAGTCATAATATCGCTAGAAAAGCATTAAAGCACATAATATCATATTAAAATATGTACATTTACAGTAAATGTTGATATAGTCATCATAAATCCTAGAGAATGAAACATGAAAACATCTGTGTTTCTGTGTTGTTGTCTTATTTAGCGGTCTTTAAGTACTCAATATTGGTGTTTTCCACGGTAGCTCCAATATCTACCATTTGGCATCGTTGTCAGCGCCACTCGATATTGGTAAATTTAATATAAATTAGTTTATTTTCTACTGTCGCAAGATAATTTTAATAACTGTATTTGTTATTTAACCTTACAAAATCATCTTATTTTATAATGTCTTAGAGCAAACCACATTCACAAATAAAGGGTCTGCAATATACTATAAACATCGCCAAATTGTAAACATGTACATTTACAAGTATGTACTATACGTACATGAATTAATAAATTTAGATCACTTTTTTCTGTACTATATTAAAAACTGTTTGTAAGCTTAAAATAGATTCTTATTAACCATATATTATTAAAAATGCATTTATAAATAAAACACAGAACTGGGAATGGTTATTTGTGGTTTAGCCTAGTGACAAGTAAATACGGAGACAAGTAAATTCGACTTATGTCGTTTTTCAACTTAAGTTGCCTCTCCTGGAACCAATTACCGACGTAAGGCGAGGTATACCTGTACATTCTATTAACATAATTGATTAGGACATATACAGCATAATTGATATAGCATTAGTACAGTATAATTGATTAGGACACATATGATCAACTTTAATTTTCAATTTTATAATTATTATGCACAAAATTATAAAGTTTTAAAATATGTTTAAAATTATAAAGGTGATTAGAAGATTAAAGGAAAGAGGAGAACCAATACTTTTCTTTGGCGAAACTGAACAGGAAGCATTTCAGCGATTAAGACGTTTAGAAATTTTGGAACCTGAAGTCGATCGTGGATTTAGAAATGACTTTCAAGAGGCGATGGAAAGGGTTGATCAGGCTTATTTGGATGAAATTCTGAAATCACAAGGAAAGACAGAAAGTGGAAAATCTGTTAATGATGTCAAATTTGAAGATGCTGGAACTACTTTGGAAGAAATAAAGGTAAATATTAAAGCATTATATTAAGATTTGTATAAATTTAAATTTGCAACAAATTGGTCTTTATTTAACACACAAGAAACAACAACACTGCCAACTTTGAATTGGCTTTTGGAGTTGAAATTTCTCACTCTTTCTAATGCTTCAGGTTTCTGTAACCCCATCAGAGACATTAATAGTAAATATGAAAACTATTATTAGGGTTATCAGGGAAACTTATATTTTATGTAAACTTGGAGAATTGATTTATTTTTCTGGAAATTTCCAAATACTAGATTGGTAGTTTGGAACAAAGGAATTTTTAAAGCTAAATATGTTTTAAAATGTTATTTTATGTAAGTATGGAATGTGAATACAAAACTTAATTTAATTAACTTTACCAGGCATATATAATTTTTATTAAAGATGAACAAGTACTATACTATTTATACTATCTGCAAATACTATTCAAGTATTCACTTGAATACTAGAAAGTAACTCAATTACAATAGATGAATAAATAATTTAATACTAGGAAGTATTTGAGATTTGAGATCTAGAATATTATGTTGATAAAAAATAGTCAAATACTCCAATATAGTGCTATACCTTCAATCAAGAAGTACCCAGAAGGGAGGCTAACAAAAAATTTAAAATATTTGAATAATTGGGCTGCAGTTTGAAAAAATTGTAGATCTAGAAATTCCCACTGTTGTCTGTTTGTCCCTAACCTTGAGAATGGAGTTAGGTAGATGAAAGACAAGATCAGATATGGAAACCTTAGGGGCAAGAGGGGCCCTGATTAACTATATATGAACATCCAATGCAAACCAAAAATCTTGTTATTTCAATTCAAAACTTCCCCTGAAAGCAGTTAATAGATGACTGCCACAACTATATTGTTAAAGGAAAAGTATGATGTAAAGGGGCAAGGCACTGCTAATTTGAAGGTGGAGAACAGATATTTTAAATTAAATAAATTAAAAATATGATTAAAAATTGCAGCTGGGCATTGTGACGATGTCACAATAAATAATTGCTTGTTAATCATTTATTAACATGTACTATATGTATTATAGACAATCCTATAAACAATATTTCTCATCAAATGTTTTATTAACATTTTGAAGTTTAAACAAAGAAATTATTTTTGTGTCAATGGCATTTCCTTGTATTTTCCTGCATACAGCTTCTTCGGTATCTTAGATTTAATTTATGACTGGAAAGGAAGCAGACTAGATCCCAAAAGTTTTTGAATTTTTGTTTTCTTAAATAAAAATCTGCAGCAGGTGAGAATGAGAACAATTATTTATTATCTATTGTAGCTGAGTTAAAAAATTCTGCTTTGAAACTCCAGTTCAAAATGAAAAGTTTTGAAGTTTCATTTCATAAAGTTTAATAAATTATTTTTTGTTTTTACTTTTTGTTTTAGTTTATTAATATATTGAAATAAGTAAAAAAAATTCAATCTAAATATATAAAATTACTTGTCCTGACTGACTGAGTGACTGATTGAGTGAATTGATTCATCATTGCCCAGAGCAAACTGCTGAACCTAGAGATGAAATTTTGTACACAGTTAGGGTACGTCATGAAAATGCACACTAAGAATGAAATTTTTCGAAATTCCCCTGTGGGGGAGAGGGAAAGGATTAAGGCTAACCTGAAGAACAGCTTCTACTGTACTATTTTAGATGCAATTTTTTTTGTTTTCAACTACATTTAGTTTTCATTGAGTACTTAGGTGTATTAAATTGATAATATTTCAGACATTGTTATAAATATTTTTATATATTTTGATGTTTTAACCAAATGTTCAAACTGTTTTAAATTTGAATTTGTTATTGCATAATAGGTTCGATTATAGAATGATTGTAAACATTCCAGAGAATTTATCAAATTGAAAATAGTTTGATTCTCAGCAATTCTCATCATTCTCAGTGGTAGGTGTTATATGACAATTACTATGGTTGTTGAAATACTGAATATAAATGGGGTTTGCTTGCAAAATCTGCACGGGCAAAGTTGCGGGTAACAGCTTGTAATAAATATTTAGCTATTTAGTTAATAATTTACTTTATACAGACACAATAAAGTGACTTTTTTCAAAACACTTGGTAGATTATTCATCTCGAGATTCGAGACTGGCCAATCTGTTCATTCTTCACTTGATCTATGGAATCTGATACAGTCCATTATGTACGTCATCTATACGTTTGTAATCTGTACTTTTAAGGTATGTTTTTTAAATGTGTTATATCTACAGAATGTTTAATTCGTGTATGTATATGTAAATTTTCTCATGTTTGATTTTAACGTTTAGTTGGCTGAAGAGAGCTAATGCCTGAAACGCGACCTGTAACTAGTGTCCCAACTGAATAAAGAGATGAACAATCTGCCAAGTGTTTTGGAAAAAGTCACTTTATTGTGTCTGTATAAAGCAAAGTAAACTACAACATGGTTTCATCAGAATCTAATAATTTACTGTTATGTTATGTAATGTAATTAAGTTCACTAAGTATTCAAGGTATCTGAGATCCAGTTAATATTTGAATTCAGGAAAGGTAATATTTGTCCATCTTTAGTTTTTATTCCTGTTTGTTTTTGTATTCTTATTTATTGGAAGATAAATGGAGCAGTTTGGTGACTGGGCGGTAAAGGATAGGACATGACATTGGCACAGCCTGTCTATGAAAAATTCCCAAGGTTCTCTGCCTGGATTGATCTGGGTCTCCAAAATATTGGACCAATGCCTTTATTGCGTCATCTGTGAACAGATGCATTTGTTTAAGAAAAAAAAACCACTTCGTTTATTGATTATTAATAAGGAATGTATCATTAAATGGACACATCTAAGTTTATTGAATACTAATAACATTCAAATTGAAATTGTCCTCATAAAAATGAAAAATGTAATTTTATAATCTAGTTTGATTCATTGTTTTCATTAGACTAATTCGTTATCATTGTCATTGAAATGACTTGCACGAGTTTATAAATTTTATTTTTTTCAAAGTAATAATTTCAGTTTTAAAAACAATATATTATTTAATTTTAAACATAGACTTGCATAAACAGTATTTTATGCAAGTCTATGATTACACAGCATTCAAGATTGAATGCTGTGTAACTATATTTATTTGTATAAAACATAAATTAGTATGAATTTACCAAAATAAATGAATTGATATCTGAAAAGTCTATAGTCTTATCGACGATAACAATTTGCCATAAAAATATGTTAGATTCATCATTATTGGGAAAAGGTGTAATGTATTATAATAGGAAGTATGATGTTGCTGGTCAACTTTATCATTGCCAGAGCATTTTGTGAATCAATATCGTGTGAGTTTTACTAAAAAATAATAATATGACAGAATAACTTTTTTGGCTAAGTTTTCAAATTACTTTAACTTCAAAATGAGATTAAATTCTAGTAATGTAGTGTGGGGAAGGACATGCCAGGAATTTTTCATAGGCGAATTAAAGAATGTAACAGTTGCTGAATTACAAAAGAAATTAAATGAATTAGGAGACAAGATAACAGGGACAAAGGCAGAACTTTTAGAAAGGTACGCAAGCTTAAAATAATAAGTATAAACTGATGCTTTTACAGTTGTTGGCTTTCATTTTCAATCTTATAATGTAACTAGCTGTTACCCACAACTTTGCCCATGCAGATTTTGCAAGCAAACCCCATTTATATTCAGTATTTCAACAACCGTAGTAATTGTTATATAACACCTACTGCTGAGAATGATGAGAATTGCTGAGAATCAAACAAACTATTTTCAATTTGATCAATTCTCTGGAACGTTTACAATTGTTCTATAATCAAACCAATATGCAATAACAAATTTGAATTTAAAACAGTTCGAACATTTGGTTAAAAAATCGAAATATATAAAAATATTTATAATGTCTGAAATGTTATCAATTTAATACACCTAAGTACTCAATGAAGACTAAACGTAGTTGAAAACAAAAAATCACATCCAAAATAGTACAGTAGAAGCTGTTCTTTAGGTTAAAAACTCTCCTTCTCCCCCGCGGGGGAATTTCCAAAAATCCCTTCTTAGTGTGCATATCTTAACTGTGTACAAAATTTCACCTCTAGGTTCAGCGGTTTGCTCTGGGCGATGATGAATTACTTGTCCTGACTGAGTGATTGACTCAGTCAGGACAAGTAATTTTATATATTTAGATTGTGAGGACAACAATTTAGTTTTAATTACTCAACTTCAATTTGTAATATACTTTTGAAATTTTAGATACATAACAATAAACACAAATCAATGTTAAAAATCATTGTCATTAATGTTTGATAATTAAAATAATTTTAAACTGTTTTTGAAATTAATTGCATTTATAAATGTAACATAATTATAAGGACACAATATTTTTGGAAAAATTCATACCATTTGATATTTAGTTGGACCTTCTTTCATTTGAATAACATCAAACAATCTATCAGGCATAGTTTGAATAGATTTTTGCAATTGTTTCACTTCAATATTTTCTCAAGCAACCATAGTTGGTAATTTTAACTGGTTTACTTTATAATAATGCTTGTTTTGACCATAAACTATTTTTGTTATTATGCTCCATAAATTTTCTTTTGGACTAAGATCCAGTCTAATACTGTAAATTACTTATATTTCAGATACTAAATTTTCATTAAAAAAAAATATACATTAAAAAACTTCCAAGTAATTTATGTCTTGAATAATTTATCATTTAAGTTAAAACTAAATATATTTTTTCAAACATCTTAATTTTACAGGATATGGCCAAAAATTTTGGCAGAGGAAACGATAACCACGATATTAAAGTAATTCTTACCTTTTTAAAGGTATGGCTTTATTCTTTTTAGAATTAAATTGTAATTATTATAGATTATAAGACAATATAACAGGAATAAAATAAAAAATGTTTTAATTTGTGGACAGTTCATCCTTCAACTGTGGGGTCAGAAACTGAATGCGAGAACGGAAAGTGAGAAAATGTGCATGAAGGGAAAATTGGCATCAGCCACCTACACACAAACGCAGTCTTACATCGGGCCGTTATTCAAGAGGTTGAAGAACAAGACTATTCACGAAGATATTTTAGAACATCTGGTACACATAGCAAAGTATATGCTGGATAGAGATTACGTCAAAGTATGACTTCTGTACATTCTGACAAATAAGATGTTTATTTACATCGATTAATACGCTGATAAATCTCTTTTTTAGGCTAATGACACCTATCTGCAGATGGCCATTGGCAACGCACCCTGGCCCATCGGCGTCACCATGGTTGGCATTCACGCCCGTACCGGCCNGTAAACTTGGAGAATTTATATTTATAAGATAAAATTTTCCAATTACCCTGTAACACCGTAGTAAAAATATTGTTTCAAATCACTTCAGTTAATGGTAAATTGCCATTGATGCTAATGGGCAGAAAATGATTTTAAGCAATAACAAATAACAGATTATTTGCAACCATTTTGTATATGAGAACTGTTATATGATAGGAACATTGTCCTTAAAACATGAAAACATTTTAAAATTCTAAATATATACTGGCTGCAATCAAATGAGGTCAGTTAATATCGCTTACAATTTCAAGCAACAAAACAGTATTAACTAGTAAGATCATTGCTATGTTTGGAAGACTCGACAGTTCTATTTGAACATAAGTAGTGTAAATGCTACATAACTGCAATGAATCTGCTGAGAGATTAATTATGAGTGTGAGTAGCATTACAGAAGTTTTTGCTCATTTCCACAAATTTATCCTTAAATTTATATAGTATTTTACATAGCTGATAGCTGTGTGTTAATAGATTATTATAATATATGCCTTCCTATTTGTAATTAATATATAACTTACTTATTGAGTGGGAGCAGCCATCTTTGATTCATTATTGGTGTCTAAAGATAGAGTAAATGAGATCTATCACTAAACATGACATTAATATTCTGTATGTATTACTAATTAACATTTCCATAGATAGCATTCAAGAGAAAAATACTTATTTATTCCAGAACTGTTGATGCTGCAAAATGAGCCATTGCATGCCAGTTGGTCATTTTTTCAAGTCATTTAGAATTTATCATTGTTATTATCTACAAATCCAGTAGTAAGTCCTTTGCCCATTACAGTCCTGTGTGAGGTTTTCTTGCCAGTGTTTCATTGAATAACTTATTCTGGATTTCATTTGGTTGTTTCGGAGATGTCTAATCAATGACTTTCATTTCAAAATATTGAAACTATATTTTTTACTAAGATAAATGTTTTAGGACCAATAAGTTTAGATTGAGTAAACAAACTGCTTACTAATCTTTTAGATAGTAACAACATATCCAATTTCTTACAAATTGCAACATTTAAAATCTAAAAGTACTTAAAATACAATTAACGAATTTAGAAATCTATTATGCAACACAAAGAGTTAATTCTAATAGATTTTAATAACAATTTGAAGATAGAACTTGTGTTTTTTCAAAAAATGTTTATCATAAATAATATGAAAAAATTAGAAATTTATTATAAATGATTTTGGTGGTTTGAATTTCAAAAAAATGAACACCTTATCCGTTGATTTTTTTGAATATTAATTTGCCGAGTACGTTTTCTGTTCAAGGTTTGAATTTCATAAACAACCACATTCAATAAAAATAAAAATGAATAAATTAAACCTTGTATAAAATTCATATAACATTATTAGTATTGGATTTTATAACAAATAATTAATTTGGCATAACTTGTGTCAATGATCTAATTTAACTGTTGTCATTTCTAATTAGGATTACCAAACATCTTGTTACTTTCCTCACTGTTATATATACATAATAAGGGAAAGTGTGGAAATCATGTCAAAATTGACCTGAGTTTTTTACAAATCTCCATGTTTTGAGACCCCCTGGACCCAAAAAAGTAAAAAACAAGACAAAAAAGTTCCATGTATGTGTATTGGCATCTATTCCATTTAATATCTCAGGATGGGATAAAGATTAAGAAATGAAATTTGGCATGATAGCTTGTGTGTAAGGGGCATCAATCTATTAAATTTTGGTGGTTAAACATTGATGGGTGTCTTGTTTCATATCTCTACAGAGATTGGATTTAATGAAAATTTTACTTATTATTAGTATCTAATAATAGTATCTACAGTTTTTATAATATTAGTATCTACAGTTTTTGTTTTTTTTATAAAACTCATCTCTACTCTCAAAATAAAGCTTTTTCCTATTTTATAATAATTAATAATATAAAAAGGTTTTTTATAACAATTTTTTATAAAAATCTCATAACATTCAATTTCTTACAAATTGCAACATTTAAAATCTAAAAGTACTTAAATAATATTACAGTTAAAGAATTTAGAAATCTATTATGCAACACAAAGAGTTAAGTAACCACACAATTTTATTCATTATGATTAATAATACAGCATAAAAGTTATCTTTTAAATAAAATCTCATGACATGTAGAAAAGTTACATAACTTGTTGCTAGTTTTTCAAGGATTATCTCTGTCTTCAACATCTTATCTCAACTCTAAAATGATCTTTCGAGATATGTAATGCCCCACTAGATATTACCATATTGCTCTGAATGTAGTATGATATATATATTTTTAATTTCTACTTCTGAAAGTATAGGGTTATATGCAAACAAGTTCTTTCTAACCTGCATATAGTACGACCCTTATATGTAGCATTACTGCAACATCTTGTCTTGCCAATAGAGATCTGTTCTACTCTGCTCAAATGTTGCCAATGTGATATTTCTTTTATGTAGTTCTTAGGCAAGGAAAAATGCATACACAGATTATGTTGAAAAAATGAGGCTCAACATGTTGACAGACAAACTGTCTCAGAACTACGTGTTTTAAATTTGAGTCAAATGATTTTCTAATTCCATGTTTAAGGAAATTCAAAAATCATTTTACTTAAATTTAAAAACACACAATTCTAAGATATGCTTTCTTTCTACCACTCCTGAATGATAAGGAAAAATTTATATTGCTGCTTGACAATATTAGTGAAAATGAGAAAGCAAAAATTGTCTTAATCTGACATCACATTCTCTTGCTTGTTAACATCTTGTTCTGGAAAATTCACTCACTTACATCTGCAAGGCCACAGCCTAAGGCTTTCAGAGGTCTAAAAACAAGCAGATTTGACAGATATGTAATGACAAGGGTCTTCCAATTATGTGATAATTTTGTTGAAAGTATTGAAAATCATTCAATAAAAGAACATTCCAAGGTCAGTGTTTTTATATGTTTTCCCATCTCCTTGATGAAAAAATATTGGTATGTACAGTACACATACTACAATTCTTCACAGCATGCCAGAGTTCAAAGCAAACTTTGGTTAGTATCAGAGATTTTTGCACTGATTTGGATTTTCACTCTGCTGTCAGAAATACTAGTAGTGTTTGCTTAATGCTTTTGAAGAAAAGTTGATGGCCTATCAATGTTATGTCATTCAACTGCAAAAGGAACATCAGTATTTGTTGAGTAAAATTGCCAATGCTGATGAAATTCCAGTATATTTTGTCATGCCAGAAAATACTATAGTGGATGACATTGATGCAATTTTTTTTTGATAAATACAAGTGGAAATGAAAAAATCTCATATCATAGTCATGTTTGCAGTGTTAGATGATGGACCAAAGTTATTATCATATGTGATTTTTAAGCAGAAAATAGTGCCAAAGGATATCCATGTCTGATGTAATGCAAATGGCTGATGGACATGAAGGATTGGTTGGATGTGGTATGGACCTCACAGCCCCATACCCTACAGCAGGGCCCCCAGGCCAGGATCATTGACAAGCCCCCTCCCCCCACTCAAACCCAAGACCTTAGAGCCGCCGCAAACTACAGGATGTGGGAGCTAGCGTACGCTCGCTCGCGCTCCTAAGCCCCGCCTTTTTTCCCATGATGCTATGAGCCATTTTTGCTAGGTAAGCTATGCGGGCACGAAGCAGATGCAAACTACACAACGTTTGCTCGCGTAACGTAGTCCACATGACGTGGATTCCACAGATGTAGATTGGCTATAGAACAAGATTTTATTATAACCTATACTTGTAATCAGTCAGTTTTCGTTCCGAACTTTGAAACAGCATGGAAAAAAACATGTTTACTAGTTAAGCCTAACTAGGCTTAACTAGCCGAAAACTATTTATACTGTATATTACTATTTACATACAACGGTTATACTATTTTCTTTTCAATACTGAATGTATTAATCATGTAATTTACGTACATCGATAAAATTCTATTATTTCTTTTTCGATATGTGACATGTTTATGTAGTCATCC